GGGGGGGGGTTCAAAGTTTCCATTCCAATTTCTTCTTAAATTTATATCTTTAAAAATCTAAATCTTAATATTATAAATTAAAATATTTTTTTAAACATATAAAATTTTGTCGATAAACTGTTAGGCTTATCTCTTTATGATTGTCTTCAATCTGATTTGATTCTCAAATCGACAAAAGAATCTCATTTGTAATTCGATCTTTTTTTTTCCGAATGCCAACCTCTGACGGATGTTCCTCGGAAGGTTCCGTGAGTGCGAACTCGACGATGGCTTTCTTCATATTCTTCATGAAGTCCTCCTTGATCTCGAGGATCAGCTCGCCGGCAGAATCGGGAAATTTATCACGCAGACGGCCCGGAACCAGATCGAGTATCGCCTCGACGAAGACGTCCTCGATGCTCACCGTACCAATCGTATCGACTCCGTTGCAAACGTAATAATAATATCTATTGACGTCCTTGTCGTCGCTCAGATCCATGTCTTTCTCCGGTAACTCTGGTTTGACTATCAAACCCACCATAAATCTAGCCGTAAGGAGATTCATTTAAAGCCTCGAGCTTCTTCCAAGAGACCTCAATAATTATTAATTTTATTGTTGTAATCTTAATTCGCATTAATAATTGTTCCACTTTATATTGAATTCACCTATAGCATTCATCTCTTAATATGATAATATTTAAAATGTCATTAATTAAATTCAACAGTAATTCTATTTAATCAATTATATGTCATTTTACTAAATCAATATACTTAATTAAATAAATTTATTTAAATTTATTTAATTAACTAATTTTACTTAACAATAATTATAATTTAAACTAGATAACCGCGCATGTGAATCGCACAATTAAATTCGAAAGCGCCTTCTACGGTCACGGCTGCCTAACAAATTCTATATGAATTTCTTAACTCTATGTTCAGCCGTTTAAACTGCACATAATTATTTTCAGTATTTTAAGATGCGTATAAGCATCAGTTTGTTAAGATTAATTTTACTTAATTAATATGAATTTACACTGCGGCATGTTTAGGTCTGATGTTATTTGAGAACTCAATTTAATTACTGATACTCGGATCGCCGAGTAAATTCGAAGTTACAAGTGGAAATACGGAGTTTTGAGTTGCCCTTTCTGTATACCTGCGAAACTTCTCCTCGCGAAGGCGTTTCGCCGTGTGAGATGCACCGCGAAATTTTTGCATCTTTCCCTTTTCCTTGATCGGCGCCTCTCCTTTCCTCTTGCATCTCTTAGGACTCGTCAAGTCCGACGGAAGAGAGAACAGCGGCTCGACCTTCGCGTCGAGGACCTTCGGTATTTGAATCGCGTTCTCGGATGCGCAACTCCGTGCCTTCGTTTCCTCCGGGCGGAAAGGTAGTTCCATGTTCGATCGTAATTATGACAATTAATTGTGTCAACGGGGCGACATTTAACGGAATTCTAATATATCTCTCTGGAAAATATATACAATACGATAATATTCTCATCACCGTTTCGCGGAACTGCAAACAAATTTAATTCACTCGCGACCTTTCTAAAATAAAATATTTTAATCGTAAATATTAAATCTCGAATAATAAAACGCGAATTTATACATGTTAAATATGCAGACATTTATTTAAAATAGAAATATTTATAAAGTGCAGAGATAATTGCTCTTTATTCACAGCTTTTATAATAGCCAAGAGACACGGTAGTGGCTCGCGTCAAGTGCATTATTATTTACGTTAAAATATATTTTTTTACGATTTCAAATAATTATATTAAATAATTATTTATTTAAATGAAATAATTTAGAGAAATACTTATTTCATTTAAATGCTATTTAAATTAAATACTTTACTTTTAACTTATTATTATTAAATACTTTATTTTTTTTAGTGTGTTATATGCGATAAAATTATAATAATGATATAAAAACAGTATATTTTTATAATAGTATAATGTAAACTAATAAATACAATATACTACTACTATAACATAAATAAGATATATTATTTTAAATTATTTAATATATGTATATTAACTACTGCAAATTAAAATAAATTATAATAAAAAATATATAACATGTATAAGGTATATTATTTTTAAATATGAGTTATTCTAAATACTTATTTGAATACTTATTCATTATTGTAATAATCATTTTAACATATTTACACTGATATTCCCACAAAATTTGAGCAGTACATCTGCATTGATGAGAAAGGCGGTGGAGGGGGGGGAGCCCCAAACGCCCTCTTGATGGAGGAATGATTACGGATCTGCGTTGTGTTCTAACCTCCAAAATCCAAACACGGTGAGTGTTTTGCGCCGCTGAACCGCCGCGATATAAGATTCGCGAGATCAGCTGTTCGACCTGCCGCGAATACTCGCCGGTGTCTCGCCGAGATTAACGACCGAATTGATCCGCGTTCGCGCGAGCCACGCGTGTCTCGTGTCAGATTCGCAAACTGCACCCTCGATCGCAGTCTCTAGGCAACGTCAATCGATTCGACAGAATTAACGAATCCCGCGAACCTCGGCGGAATCGGCGAGGGAAGGTACAATTCTCGCAATCGCCGCTCCTCGCTCCTTCGGCGAGAAGCAATTCCGTATCGGCGAGTCTCTTTTTTAGGTTATGTCCCAGGAACCACCTGCGCCTCACACGTGTGATTTCCGCGAGGATTTGCGATCCGCTTTTCCCCCTGACGTGACATTTTCTCCCCTGTACTTTCTGCATTTCTGTCGAACGGGGTCGGGGTTGCCACCTGCAGGACGAGAGCAGTTTATTAAATTGTCACATTTCCCAAGTTATGTATTATGTCAGAAAAAATTGGCGCTGATGAGGTATATATTTTTTTCCAGATGATACCGGCCCAGATATTCCGCTTGATTCACACGAACGGCCTGCTCTGGCAGGCCACGAACAAATCCCTGCTGGCTAAGCTGCGCAAGAAGACCGGCTACACGTTCGCGAACTGCAAGAAAGCCCTGGAGCTGCACGAGAACGACGTGGACAAGGTAAGAGGCGCGCGCCTCCGCGCCCGCACTCGGTACGCGTTCTCCGCAACTCTAAATTGACTTAACGACGGGACCTCTTAGTTCCTTCTCGCTCCAGGCTGAGAAATGGCTGAGGGAGCAGGCGCAGCAGTACGGCTGGACCCAGGCGGCCAAGCTGAAGGGCCGCAACACCAGTCAGGGGCTGATCACGGTGACCGTGGACGGGCGTCACGCCGCGCTGGCCGAGATTAACTGCGAGACCGACTTCGTGGCGCGCAACAAGAAGTTCCACGGTCTCGCGGAGGCGGTGATCTCCGCCGTGCTGAATCACGCGAGGTCCCAGGAGATTCAGAACGAGGTGCAACGGACAATTTTCCACGCGGACAGTCTCAAGGACCTGCCGGCCGCGGACGGCAAGCCGCTGAGCGACCACTCCGCCCTGACCATCGGCAACGTCGGCGAGAACATCAGTCTGAGGCGCGCGCTCGCCGTCAGCGTGCGGTCGCCGGACGTAACGCTGTTCGGCTGCACGCATCCGGCGCCGATGAATCCCATACCCGTGTCCTTCGGCAAATACGGTGCCCTGGTGGCCATCAAGTGCAAGGAAAGCGACAATATGCTGGGCACGCAGCTCTGCCAGCATATCATCGGTAAGCTCTCGTTCGTTGCGATAATTGAATTGAGAGAGAGAGAGAGAGAGAAAGAAAAAAAAAGAAAGTACTAACATTCGCGATTGCTTCTTCCTTGCAGGCATGGACCCGCAGAAGATCGGTGACCCGCGGATGGACGAGCCGCACGACAACGTGGACGAGGAGCAGTGCATGATCTATCAGGAATTCCTGCTCGATCCCACTCTCTCCGTGCAGCAGTTGCTGGCGGAGGCGAACGCCGAGATCGTCGACTTCGCGCGTTTCGAGATCGGCGAGGAGCTTGACGAGGATTCGACGCTGAAGAGCATTCAGACCTGCGGCTGATGTCAACCTCCGATTTCACACATTATCTATCGTTAATATTAATTTTCATATGATAATACACGATAATTATTTTTTTGTTGTTGACTGAAATCGAAGAAGCGAGAAGATCATGTGAAAACAGATTCCTAAGTTGTTCATCTTTAAGAACAAGAATGTGTTTGAAAATAATAATGACATTCTCTCAGTTTTAGTACTTTGTACAGTGTATCGTGTTACAGTAATAAAATCGATATAGCCTAGTATAAAATTTAAATCGTCATTATTTCATTTAGCCTTTTGACGTATATCAAATCTTAAGGCTTGTTGTCTTTTCACTGCACCCATATAGAATTAAATTATTATCAGAATCGAAAAATCAAATTCTTTTTTTTTTCTTGCGCTTTGTCCTCTTTAATGTCTCTTTTTTATTATTTTAATAATTTTTTTCGATAAATACGAAAAAAATATAAAGACTATCTCACGCAAGTCAGCAACATTATTTGAATGTTAAAATGTATTCAAATGTAAAAAAAAATAAAATAAAATAATTCAAAAATTAGTATGTACATAGTCGAATAAAAGTGTACGCTATGAAAAATCCTCGCGATACAAAGCGCTCCCGGGAGCAGCCTTCGCTTTGATTCTCTTCAACCTTCTCGCGAGCCTGACCGACTTCCACAGCCACATTCGAGAGTCCTTCTTCCAATAGGGCGCGATATCCGCGGGTGAATGCCTGATGCCCTGTAGAAGAAAAATTCTCAATCTGCGGTCCTTAATTTTAATTCCTTTCTATACAATACAATTTTTAGATTAAATAAGCCTATATAAGAAATTAAATTAAAAACATTGATTTTTTTAAATTCAAGATTTACGTAAAAAAATGTTAATACAAAAATTAAAAAAAGAAACATCAAATAAGTTATTCAAGAATATTAAAAAGATAATAGTATACAGAATGAGAATTCCAAATATTCATACTACGAATTATTTCGAATTCTCATTCTGTATACTACTACTTTTTTAATATTCTTGAATAACTTATTTGATGCCTCTTTTTTTTAAATAAATTGAAGGAATTAGGCTCGTAAGAATAAATCAGATATATTGAAGTAATAATGCCTATTGACCGACACGGATCGTTGGTGTGATAATAACTTTTATTGTTATAATATCAAGCCACAAACTGCGCGCCGCATATATTGTCGGTCTTCAAACACAGTTCTTACATGAGGCTACTGTAACGAATTAAATTGTCAAGCAATTTAATATTTTTGATGCTAATAAGCATCTATAAGAATTCTCTCCCCCCAAATCTGTAAAGAAATTTCTCTTTTTTTAAATTTCTGTATCAGTATTTTTTATGTAAATTATGAATTCTGAAAAATCAATCTGTTTTTCAAAAGAGCTAATTATAGTCATGGCTAAATAAGGATGTATATGCACCTGGAAAATTAGAATTTCCGGTCCCTGGACTACCAATTGAAAAGTAGATTTTTCTCTCGTCTTGAAAACCGGAACAGTTTCCTCCTGCTCGGAATCATTGAAGTAATCCGTCTGCATGTCATTTGTTCTGAAGCCTGGATGATCCTTCGTTTCGAGCTCTAGATTCTCTAAAGCGGACGTGAAATTCCCAATGTCCTTGCAAACTCCCATTCCAACCTAAATAAAATGAATTCATCAAGAAAACGCGATTACCTTCATATTAAAGTTCAATTTCAGATAAATATAAAATTGAATAATTAAAATGTAGCTCGTCATCTTCAGCTTGTGATCTTAAAAAAATTAATCAAAAATTAGATTTACCAATTAATATTTTCCTAAAATTCTTAATTTATATATTTTAATATGGAATTTATGACATAACATTTATTACTTTCAATTTTTAATTTAGAATTATGCATGTATTTTTGTATTTTTATTTGTCGCAATGAATTTAAAACAAAGTTTTCTCTAACGTTTTAAACTAAAATAAAAAAGTTCTTTTAGTTTAAAAATTGATACTATAAATAATAAACTAAAAGACTATAAATGACAATAATTAAATAAAATTGTTATAAATTATAGATGAAGCAATTAAATTGTTTTTAGAAATTTGATTCCTAAGTATATTTGATTTTGATGTTTCAATAAAACCTGAATTCCTTGGGAACAAACGTTACGGTCCAGAACGGCGGCGGCGACAGCATCCTGCGTCCTGGCCGCGGGATGATCGTTCTCATCCCACTTCAGGTTCTCGACTGTCCGGAAAGAGAAAGCGCACGTTGTATGTTACAAGGAGATTCGCAACGAGCGTCTCTCTACCTCGATGTACCGCTCGACTGATCCGACTCCTCGTTACGCCAATCCATCCTCGCGCCGTCGAAGGGTGGTAAGACGGAGGCAGCCCTCTGACATTTGTCGACGGGACCCGCATCTCTCGCTCGCCGCCTCCTGTCAGGGAAAAATGCCCGGCGAGCGCACTTTGTTTCAACGACCGGATCGGACCGAATTTATATATGGCTTCAGGAAACTCGATGCCCGCAATTAAAAGAAACCCACCCTATACGCTTGAGAATAAAACGAGGAATAATATAAAGAATATAAATATGCACATATAATGCAGTACAATACCTCGAAAATTGCGTACTATTTTTCTTATCTCTTATTCTTTTGTCAGCAGGGCAGATGTCAGGAGGAAGAATAGGAAGGACGCTGTACGTTATATATTTTATAGGGTAAAGTCAAGTCAAGTTATGCAGCTTCAAACATTCATAACTTCTGTTTTGCGATAAAATTAATCTGTAAAAACCAAATAAAAAAAATTCATTTCAATTTTAGTACGTATTATTTTTCTGAAGAAAAATAATATAAATAATATAATGTCATTTCTCAACACATCCGTCGTCATATAAACACAGTAAGACACGGTTCTGAAGTTCTACCAACATGTTTTTCAACTATAATTCACAGAATAATATATAACAGTCTATCTTTTGAATCGCTTATAGTTATCCGATCGTGTGATTAGTTTCTTATCTGATTTCCATCGACTCTCCTAGAATCTTTCTTAGTTTTTTGCATTCTTACGGAGAGGAGCGCATTAACGCACGTAGGAGTGGAACGGGCCGCATGCGAGCGTCATCTCTTTCATCGGTTAAAAAAGAAAATTTATAAACAAATTATTTTTGATATTTTAAACATTTTAAATGTAAATTTCACTGGACTCCAATTTTAATTTTCACAAATTAATTAATGTTATTATAAAACAGAGATTTACATGAAAGTTTTGATGAAAGTTTAAAACTACGCAAGGATTGCATATATTCATTGTATAATTTGTATTGTCTTCTGTGCCGTATCAGATTCATCCCCCTGACATTGACGATCACTCCGGAGAGAGCCGTTCTGTAATCACGTGACTTGCCCATCAAAAGGCTGCCCGGAACTAAGTGCCCTTTTGTTTCTCCCTTTACAGAATGGCCATCCCGGAAGCAATAATCAGAATGGTTTCCCCGTTGCTTCTCTGGTGACGAAAAAACGAGCTGAGAGCCGGGATCGAACGCAAGGCTCGCAGATTACAATTAAGTAGATCGCTCTCACGCCTCTCCCTATTTTACATATAACGGCGATCAAATGTATACATAAATGAATAACGTTGCATTTAAGTTGCACGTCCGAGCGCGTCGTAGACGCGATAAGAATCTTGCATGAACGCAGACTGAGCGTTACGAAGTATTATACCTTTATCGAGATAGCTTCAATAAATCCGCAAATTATTTCTGCACATCTTGTCTTCACTTTTCTATTTTTTTTTATTTTTTTTTTCAATTTCCCCTCTGTATCTCCGTTCGATCGCGCGATTAGTCTTATCCGATTCCCATCGATTCTCCTATATACAGGATCCTTCTCAGTTTCTTGCATTCTCTACGGAGAGGAGCGCATTTAACGCACGTAGAAGCGGAACGGACGGCGCGCGCGCGCGAGCGGGCCCATTACGTGTTCTAGGACGTGTAATAAAACCGCCGTGCTCTATCTATCCGTGGCGAGGAGTACAACGTTGGAAAGGCAGCGGACCTCGGAACACAGATGTGTGTGTGTGTGTTGCCCCACAGGCGAGCGAGATCGCACAACGGGCCCCCTCCCGCGCTCGCGCGCGCACGAGCGCTCACGTATATTCATGAGGCCGCGGCGCAGCTCGTCCCGGGGGCCGCCTGCCTGTCACGGCTGGCCGGCCGGAGTTCCGGGGCCCACTTCCGGACACTCGGCGCGGTACACACACCGGTGCGGCGGCGGCGACGGCGGCGGCGGCGGTCTCGTTTTTAGAGCCCGGGGAATATCAGTCAGTTCGCGCGGAGTGTACAGTTAGCCGCCGCGCGCATCACACAAGAGCGAGAGCGGAGGCCGAGAGTGCCAGGAGGAACTCGCGCGCGTCCTGCTCCTTCGCGCGTGTCCCTCCGCGCGTAGAGGTAGAGAGGCGGTTTTTTAAATCGGCCCCCGGCCACACACTCGCCGAGCCCGCGAGACACACACCGGAGAACAATGGACTTCCCCAGGCGGGTGAGTGAGATCAATTCCGTTCGCGAATCGACTCCCGATCTCGGACGATCTGCGAAGGGGTGCAACGTTTTTCGGGGGTGTCCTCCGGTCCTCTGATCTTAAATTGCTGATAAAAGGAGAAAGGGAAAAAGAGAGCCGCGTTAATGCGACGAATTTGAGATCAATTCTGAAGAGCATACATAATTAGCGATATGAAAATTAGTATGTTAATTGAAAGAACAGTCTTCTTCGTTTTCTATTATGATGTTTATTTTCGAGAAAGTATTTCTAACTTCCTAGTTCCTCTTTTCTATCCGCTTGCGAAAGTTTTTAATTAACAGACGCGTCTTTCATGCGTTTTTAAGGACTTCTGAAAGGTCTCGAATTTCTTTTTTTTTATATATATATAAAAAAGTTTTAATTAACGAGTTGTTAAACTACCTCCTCCCACCCTCGTTTCTGCTCTGTTTAATGCTCGCATGATCGTTTAGCTAAATAGAAAAACAGATTCACGAGTAAATACAAATAACTAATCGTAGGTATATTTTTCATCTTATTGTTAATAATATTTCTACGCAAAATCTGTTCACATTTTTTTTTAAGTCGAACCTCTGAAAAAAAATCAATTAACAAAAATAGTGTTTCTATACGAAACATCTATAAAAGAAAACGCAAGAGAGAAGAACAATTCTATTTTCGACTGCTTGAAGTCGTAAATCGGTCAACTCGATTGTTGTGCTTAATTCGTATACATACATCATGTCGTGTGTCTTACAATCAAACACTTAAAAAAAAAAAAGAACATAAAAATCATTTTTAAAAAGAAGGTAAAAATCGTATGCCGAAATTCTATTTCGCGTTCTCCGCTGCCTTTATATACTTACCACCTGTTACACCGTCATTGAACGAACGCGTCGCGTCTATACGAGAGCGAAATAAAAAAAAACGAGTCCCATTCTCTCCTATGAGGGCCGTTCGCGGTCGGGCGACCGCGAATTCTCACCTTCTGCCGCGATTCCCGCGCCGAGAGATGCGGGCGACAGTTGGGACTTCCTGCCCTGTCGCGCGGCGGCGATGATCGTCGCGGGTGATGCTCGGGCCGCGCGTGTGCGTGCGTGCGTGCGTGCGTGAGGAGAATGCGAGAGGCGCGGGCCGCTCATGTATATATATATATATATATATATACATACATGAATGAATCGCGGGATACGCGCGCTCGCACACACACGCCGCCGGAGGAACGAGACCAGCGCAAGAGCACAATGCGACGGAGGCGGCGGTCGGCCGCGGGCATAATGGGCCCCCGTCTTACCGGGATCCGATGTGGTTACAGGTCAATCAACCCGGGCCGAAAGCGAGCGGCACAAAGGCCGCTCATTTTCCTGAGGGGGGAAACAATGACAATTTGCCGGTCGCGAATGAGAAATCTTTCGAAAAGTCATTCCCCCTTGTAATCTGCCTTGAAAACAAATCGTGTGTGGAGACGTCCGGTAGGAGAATCCGGAGTCCTTCAGACATTTTTCTCTCTAACGTTTTTAGATTACTGCAATTTTTTTCAAACATTCAGCATTTCGTGCGACGCGATCAAAGAAAGGGTGACTCCGAACCTTTTTGCATTTCATTCCGTTAAATAATTAAATTTCTAACAAATAAACTAACTAGAATAATTAATTAAATGAACAAAAATTATGAACTTGTATGTAACTTTCAAAAATCCATTTCCTTGTAATCTGTCCGAAACGATTGTTTTAACGAGCCGAAATGTTCAAAAATGTCCGGAAGAAATCCTTCCGGAAGAAGGCCTTCTTCCAAGTCTGTATAATTTCTAGACAGCTACTCATTTTTTCAATCATTCAGCGATTCATGCAGCACCAAGAAGTAGGCCATTTCCATAGTCAAACAATTAATTTACTCTAATTAACTAAGCGAACTAAAATAATTTATCTAAATAAATTAAATTACGATCAACTTGTGTAACTTTCAGATGAATAATGCAATATAAATCAACTTGCGATCTACGTTATACTGGAAGGTATACGCAGGAAGCTAAACTATAAAGTAAACTTATTTAATGTGCTAAGCGCTCTTCCGGCCAAGGCTGCGTGCGGTGTGCGTCAAGTGCGTCGAGCACGCACTCGAATGCACCTGCGAGGCGGAGATCCTCTCCGCGCGCGCGAAAGAGAGAGAGCTCTGGTATCCCAGTTTTCAGTCCGCTCGCGAAGCGCGTCCGTTGCGAAACCCATTCGGCTCGCGCGCGTCTTCTCGCTCCGCTAATGTACATAACATCACCCGCGGCACAATGCTATCGCGCGCGCCGGAATTGATTACCATTAATTACCGCACGCGTGCGCCCATCGGTCGGCCGTAGACTTACCGTGGTGTTTTCGAGTTTTTCCGGCGACTTTCCGCGGCGATCTCTTCCCGGGAACTCGTCTCGAGTGCCTCGGCTCTTCATTCTCGACACGCGATCACTAGACACACTACCCGCCGCGCGAATCGCCTCAACGTCGACTCGGTTCGGTCATTTTGCGATGCGATATTAATTCTTTTTTAACGCGAGAAATAAAGTGCGAACTTACACTGGGAAAACTTCGAATCGAGAAAAGGGGAATTTTCGAAGAACCGGAGAATCCTGCGGAGCGCGAATATGACGACCGTGCTGTATCCTGAAATTTTAACTCCCGTCCCGCAGGATGACAGGAGCTGTCGCAGCGACGATTCCGGCGGCGAGGTCTTCAAGAACATCCCGAAGAACAGCAGCATCTTCCGAGTCTGGAAGATCGAGGTAGCTATTGTATTAATAAAGATGATCATTACGATGCTGAATAACTGTAACACACTGAGATATTGAAATATTTTTCAATTAAAAAATAATACGCATTGAAATACAAAAAAAAGATTATGAAAATTAATGTATAATTAGAAGATTAATGTACAAAGTTAGATCGAAGTATATATTGAACAAGTAAAATCTCATCGTGAACAAAAATGGCATATCGTTAATCACGTAAAATAAGTTGTTCTTTTCATAGTCAGATTCATTATTGGAAATTATTTTTATTGTATCGCTCTAATTAGTTTTATATTTATGAATAGTTATTTCTCTCAATTATAGGTAACTATTATTTATTATTTAACTATACATATTATTTATTAACTATATAACTACTACTAACTATAATTATCTATTATTAATTTAATTAATTATTGTTGACTATTATTGATTATTATTAACTATTATTCATAACTATCATTTAATCCTTATTATCGTTTGTTCTTTATTAATTATCTACTCCAAATTAGTCTTACACTTAATTACTTACTTCACGCCGCGTTTGCGATTCGTTTCGTTTCACTTGATATTACGTATTTCGCTGTCGAAACAGGGTCTACGCGCGACAGTCGTAAGCAGCAGCAACATGGGCCTCTTCCTCTCCGAGTCGGCGTACATCGTCTACGCTGTGTCCGCAAAGGACGGTGCACTTCCTTACCCGGGCATGCCGGTACTTTTACTTCCATTGTGTGTTGCGTCATCGTGAGAGAAAAAAAACCCGCACGAAAGCGCGAGCACCGCCTCGCCTAACGAAATCCACACGCCCACCCTCGCAGCATAATTTTTCATCTCCCAACTTTTAACTTTTCAAGCTCAACCATCGAGTCGTTTCGCTGCAAAGAAAATGAATTACTCGCGCAGCACGCCGCACGACTGCTGTGTAAAATGCACGAGAAAACTTTTATTAACAATTAAAAGTTGATTCGACCGAGAGAAAATAAGAGTTACGACGTTTCGAAAACAGTTATTATTAAATTAAAAACTGTCGTGCAATCATCTTTTAACTTTTTTGTTTGTTTATAACTTTTTCCTTTTTAATTTTTAAGTATAATTTTGAAATTATTGAAGTTAAAAATTTGCAGACGTCAAAGAAAATATTTAGGCCTTCGTTCCTTCTCTTTCTACTTCTACTCGTTTTATTATCCGGTCGATTCCCCGGTGATTTCTTTTACCCTGTTATTAGATCAAGGATCTGAAGGACACCGCGGTGGTGCGCGCGATCCACTTCTGGATCGGTGCCAACTGCGACTCGACGGCGTCCGGCGCCGCGGCGCTACGCGCCGCCGAGCTCGACTCGCAGACGTCGGCGATGATCCTGACGCGCGAGGCGCAGGGCCGCGAGAGCCCGCGGTTCCTCGCCTACTTCCGGCAGCGGCTGGTCGTGGAGAGCATGCATCACGAACCGCCCGACTGCGCCCTGCACCGCGTCTCCGGCGTGGCCGTGCCGATTCTGACCGAGCTCGAGAGGGTCCACTGGGAACACTTCAGCTGCCGGGACGTCATCCTGGTAGACGTCCGCGCTAAGTGCGTGACAGTTCAGGCCAATCGCGTACTACGCGACGCGAATAATTTTGCGTAACCGCGCCGGGCGGATGTCGAAATACGCCGGTGAAAGTTTCCGCGTGCAAAAAGTATACGCGCCTCCCGCGAACACAATGAATAATGATTCGATCTCCCCTTTTAACGTTTAGCTGAGGTTTAATACGTCTAAAAAAATTTTTTTATAATTTATTTGAAATTGTTGGCTGTTCTAGATAAAATGTTTTGCAGTTCGTCATTTAAAAACTTAAAAAATTGTGTAATCATCTTTTAAATTTTCTTGTTTTTTTATGCTCCTGACTTTCTATTAATAATATAATTAATTAATTAATAATAAATAATATCTCTTTCTACTAAACTTTTATAAATTTTTTCGCAGACGCTGTTAATTCATTTATCAATAGTACATAAAAACAATTACAATTGATATATATTAATACTTAATTTAATGAAATTAATTTTGATTTAATGTGGTGAGATTAATTCTACGAAGCGACTATAATACATTTCTCATCGCATTTAAAAAAACATCTTTAAGATTAATAAAAAAAAAATTGCGACCAAAGAATTAGGACCATAACACCGGATTAAAATCAAATTCCCATCTACATTCTTTCACAAAACAAATTGTATTGATAGCTTCCGATATAACTATTTCTTCTATTTTTTATATTTCATTTTCCTCTATTAAATTTAGCAATGAATAAAATTTTTTCTTAATTTTGTAAATAAAATAATAAAAGTTTTATAACAATTTCTTTTATATAACCGGGCTTACTTCATTCAATAGTGTTATTAAAAAATCTTTCTAGGGGCGTTATCTTCCTGTGGCTCGGATCTCTGTCAGATCCCCTGCACAAACGCCACGCTGCCAATCTCCTGGAGTCTCGAAAGGAGAACAACAACGGCCGCGTGGTGGTGGTCGAGGACGGCTATGAGCAAACCCTGCCGGCGGACGACAGGGAGCTCTTCAGCAGCGTGCTCGACTCCACGGCCAGGGTGGTGGCGCCCGATCGCCAGCACCGCGTCAACCCTCCGAGCCCCATCAAGCTGTACAAGTGCAGCGAGCAATCGGGCAAGTACAAGGTCGCCGAGCTGAAGTCCGGTCCGATCCTACGCGGCGATCTCACCTCCGGTTCCGTGTACCTGGTGGACCGGGGCGAGGCCGGCGTCTGGGCCTGGGTGGGCCGCGACGTCAACGCGCGCGAGAGGCTGGAGGCCGTGAGAAACGCGCGGGGTTTCATCAAGAAGAAGGACTACAGCGACGGCGTGCCGGTGGCAAGGACGACGGAAGGTAGATAGAGATCGGGATGTGTTTTGTCGCGCGATTAAACGATCATCTCTTTCGGAGGCACAGAATTATTTGCAAATTTCTCTAAGAATGAATGCAGATAAATGCGAAAGAATTGGTAATTGAAAGAAAGAAATAACATAATATTATTGAATAATATGAAATTGAATGATTAAAAATTAAATGTGAAATATATTGTACACATATATGTATACATAAAAATCTGAATTAATTAAGCGTAGCGATTGAAATGAAATTAAAATGACTGAAATAAACTGATAAAAGATAGAGTCAATATGGACAGAGTCAATAAATCGCGAGAATTTTTAGAATTTTGCGTGTAATAGCCGAACGGGGAATAAAACGAATGAAACGAAACAAAGGTCACGAACCGGCGGAGATGAAGGCGCTGTTGAGGGGCTGGGAGCCTTCCAAGACGAGGCCGTTGACTTTGCCGGCGAGTTTCGAGCCCGATTACATGAACGAGAGGCCCAGGATGGCGGCGGAGTGCCAGCTGGTAGACGACGGATCCGGCGAGCGGACTTTGTGGAGGGTTGAACTGAAGGAAGGTATGGTCCAGGTGGAGGACGACAGGGGAATCTATTACGCGGAAGCCTGCTACGTGATGCTGTACAAGTACGGACAGGGAAGAAGGTGTCGAAGTATTGTACGTGAAGCTCTGAATTTCTTAGTCTTTTTTCGAGAAATTATATAAACAGTCTTTTCATTCTATATCTCGATTAAATCTCTAATTAAAAGAAAAATCCTTCCTCTCTTTCTAATTCTTGAATTATTTAAATCTTTATAGAAATTTTTATTTTTTGCGTAAACAGGATATTTTCAAATATATTAAATACTAAATTAAACCTAATTAATTTAATTTATTAAGAAACCTTATCAAAAGTCTTTTTCGATGATGTATTAAACTGATTTAATATTGTTAAGTATTTAATATCATATTTGGAAATATTTTACGCAAAAAAAAAATTTCTATAAAGATTTAAATAATTCAAGAATTAGAAAGAGAGGAAGGATTTTTCTTTTAATGCTCTGCGAAGTATTTAAATATCGAAATCTAATATCTCATAATATTTTTAAGAACTTTTTATATTTAAAATATTATAAAGATTTTAGAAAAAATACTTTAAAATTCTCTTTAGATTTTATGTTTCCTTCGGAAATTAGAAAATGAGAAATCTTATTTAGACATCTTATTGTTAGAACTATTTTCAGAATTCACATATAAAAAATTCTAGAAGTTATAAACTTTTTCACTTCTGTGCTCCAATTTGTATAAAAAATTTGAAAAACTTTTTAAAAGATTATAAAATTATAGAAATTTTAAAAACTCTAAAATTTATATAAAAATTCTGTAATTACTGTGAAAGATTTCAAAAACGATTAATACCTCTTTTTAGGTTTACTGCTGGGAAGGTGTTCATTCGGTTAAGATGGATCGAGATGCAGCTTTGACTGTGGCTTGTCGCCTATCTGAAGAGACGAATGCACAGTTAGTGAAGGCATCCCAAGGCAGAGAACCGCCTCATCTCTTGCAGATTTATGACGGGAAGCTCAAGATACTCGCCGGACGCCATCGTGATTCACGTAAAGTGTCCCTGTCATTCGAACAAATAAAAGTTTAAAGAAATAACGACAAAATATTTAAAAAGAAAATTCCAATTTAGATCAAATTGTTAAAGAAAGTTATTCGACTTGATGGATTAATTCATTCGCGATTTGAACTTTTTGCTTATCTACTCCAAACAAGATAAAATATCAAAGAAGTTTGTATATTGTGCAGGAAGGAAAAATAAAATATACTTTACACGTGAATGATTACATATATCGGTTTTACAATAAAGATTCTCGATTTGCAGCGCCGAAAAAATATCTGGTCAGAGTGTTCGGCTCGACGCCGTACACCTCGAAGGCCGTGGAACGCCCGTTACGGGCGAGCAGCCTGGACTCCAGCGCGGTGTTCATCCTCTTCACCGGCGTCCCAGTCGTCTGGTGCGGCGGCAAGAGCACCGGCGACGCGAGACAGACGTCGCGACGTCTCGCGCCCAGAAACGCGCCCCTCATCACCGAGGGTAAAGAGGGCGACGACTTCTGGACCGAGCTCGAAGGTAATTGATAAACCGGATGAAGAAATAGAGCGATTCGAACATTATATTTGACATTTCTCGCTTTACGTAAATTTACCCTCCTCAGGAAGAGGCTCCTACAGCACGGAGACCGAAGAGGTCGGCGAGGAACTGGACAAACATCTGTTCCAATGCCGCACCGAGAACGGCCTCTTCGTGGGCGAGCAGATTCTCGGATTCCGACAGAACTCGCTGATACCGGAAGCTGTCTGGCTACTGGACGCCGGCAGCGTGATCTGGGTATGGATTGGCAAGTTCTCCAGCCCGAGGACGCTGCAAGAGTGCGTCGAGGACGCCACCATATATCTCTATACACATCCGGCAGGTCGAAATCGCAACACGACTATTTCCGTGATCAAACAAGGTGAGTCCCTGGTGACACGAGATCAGTTCGAATAGATCTCGAAACGACTTCTCGTTTAATGACGTTTTTCCCAAAACACTAACAAGTCATAAGTAAAAATCTAAAACATAGTAAAGTCTTTTGAAAGATAACTCGACTGATATTTTTTATGGGTTTGTTATTTTTCAATTCTTCAATTCTTTCTTTCGCCAAAAAGAAAAAGAATCTTTGAATCTTTACATTTTTTTTTTACTTTTCGTTGTTTACAATTGTATTAATTTTTCTCAGGCTCGGAGCCGGCTACGTTTATCGGGCTGTTTGACAATTGGAATCATAATCTGCTGAGAGATTACAAGCCGTTCGAGACCTTCTGCGCCCTGCTGGAGGACAGAGAACAATCGACGAGGGCGCAGACGACCTCGAAGGCCGCCACGGACTTCGACAGCTACATCAAGTACCCGCCGGCGGTGCTGAAGAGCGAGCCGGAGAACCTGCCGGCCGGCGTGGACGTTAGACGCAAAGAGATGCACCTGACCTACGATAATTTCATCGCGATCTTCAAAATGGAACCCGCAGAATTCGAGAAGCTGCCGACCTGGAAGAGGCAACGCCTCAAGCAGGCCGCTGGACTCTTCTAATGTGCTCTTTACTTCTTGCTTCGGTCCCAAATATCATTCCCTCTCCTTCCGGAATTCAGAATTTAGAAATCATACGTTCATCTCTACGCAAAATTGCCCGGGTGATATCTTTATTACAAACATCGAATTGATCTATAACCGATAAAAGTTTCATTGCATGGGAGAAAAAAATTTATTTAAAGCTTATTTAAAACTTATATCGAACGCTAGATTCAGTTAGTGGAACTTCATGCGATGTCCATCGCTTCGGCTTCGATGATGTGCACCGTCTCCTCCTCCACGATGATCGGTTGTACTGTTTTCGTGAGCACCGACGTGGTGCCGGGCTTGTAACGGTAGCTGATCTGCCGCTCGCCCTTCACGCTGGCGGTGTCGTACGGGCGTAAGTACTCCACGCTGTTCTTGCGTATGATGCAGAGATCCACGTTGGATCCCGACGCGAGATCGTTGAACACGCCCGCGCGAATGCCGTCCGCCACCAGCTGCTTCGCATCCTCTTCCTGAAAACGTTCGTTTTGCGCAATATAAGAAATAGTTTTAATACATTATTTAATACAAAAAATATATATATATATAAATAAAATAAAAGATATATAACAGAATTTAATTTATATAAATATAAGTATACATAAATGCATAAATCGATACACAAATCAACAAATTTTATAAATAATGCGATAAATTTTTGTCACTGTTCACACTGTTCGATAGTTTTATCTAAAATAAATTACTACTTTACAGACTTTATTATTAATTATTATTATATTTTAGACATAAAATTTGCCAAATTTTTTCTCTTTCGAATACTCAGTTTTCTCTGAACTCCAAGTCTTGAAATGGCAATAATCTTGGATGTCAATATACTCGACTGTATAATTAAAAAAAACTAAAGTACCGCCATATCAGGCCTCCATCTACTCTCAAAGACCGCCATGGCAGCCAGCGAGCCAGATCCCATAGTGGTGTACTTCAGCTTCTCGGTCGAACCGTGTGGATAAATGCAGTATAACTGAGGCCCGTCAATATCGTAGCCACCCAGGATGAGGGCAGCTCCAATGTGACCCTGATAACGGAACAGCATTTGCTTTATCAACGTATTGGCGGTGCACACGGGCACGACACGGCCGGTATTCAGACGGTGCAGCTCCAACTGGCTGGCTATCATCTCGGTAGTCATTTCGGTGTCGGCCGCTGTACCGGCTCCGCAACAGCTGAAAGTAATTTACGTTCCTTTCAATGCGTTCTTCTTTTTTTTTTTGCGAAATTAAATTTTTGTTACAAAGTTACGTTGCTACAAAGTTTTGTTATAAAGAGCGGCTGTACGATACTTACTACATGTTGGGAGCGAGATAGTGGATCTTCAAACTGTACTTGTCGGCCACAATGGTGTCCTCGGTGGCTCGTGTATCACCACCGAGAATAACGCCATCCTTGTACACTATGCCGGCGATGGTGGTACCAGTCTTGACTGCTTTCGGAGCGGCAAAGCCCTTTTTGATCAAGGCATGATTTCTGCGCAAAATAAATACAAGATTAGCAGGGTCGAGGAACTCCCAAGTTGATTTGAAAATCTATAAGTTAAGTATATGATAAAATTTGTAATTAAAGCCAATAAATACATCACTCCAGATACATTGCGATGAAAACAGAAGCTATGAATTTAAGTTCCTTTTCTTTTTCATTGTGATTTCTTTTAAAGCAGTCAATACAATACATGACTTTCATAGATTTTTTCATAAAACAAATCTGTAAATAAAATTGATCATGTTTTTGAAATACTTCAACTTAAAAAAAAAAATACCCAAAAATGCTTTGGCATCGGACAATGAATTCAAAGATAAACAATTATCGTTGGTAATTACCTTTAGTCACAACATTATAAAATTAGCAAGAGGCAGCGTAACACAATTTCACGCACATACATTTACTGATACATTTCGCGTTAAAATTTCATCTCAAAAATTGTTCCTTCACACAAAAATAATTACAAATATTACAATGTACATCTGACATCAAAAAAATTTCTATTTATGAAATACTATACTGTGTGACACAGCAGTGTGCGTTTTGAGGTTAGAATCGGCGGAGCACCTCTCAGAGAGTTATTAAGGAAGGATGTTACGTTAAGAGGCTTGTTTTTGCTGTGCTCGCGTAAAAGGTAAAATCGACATCACTTCTCATATTTTTTCGACTTTACGAGTCGAGGGATGCAACGGTGCGGTAGTGTCGATCTTACTTTCCGCGAGCACAGCAAAAACAAGCCTCCTCGTAGCACCCCCTCTCTCCCCCCGGCCCTTCTTTTCGAAGCGAGACAAAAATCTTTACCTTTGGCAGAGATCGAAGGAAAAACCCGGTGCCGGGATCTCCGGCGCGAGAAGCGAAGTCATGATCTGTCACGATCAAGTGAGTATCGGCAGTCAAAAGTGACACAGCTTCTTCCTCTTCCTCTCTCTTTATTCTTTGGGTGACTCCAATTCCCGCACACCCAGGTAAACTGTGGCACTGAGCACACGTCCGTAACACCACCCGGCAAGGGTTCAGAACCGTTTTAAAAATTTTACAAAGACGTTACTTACAACACTCGGACCGAAACACTACGTTCGTCCCGGCCGTGTCGGTCGAGCCAGATCAGTGACACAGCTACAATGAACTACACATCACCTAACCTGTCCTGGGATAACCTCAACTTTCTTGTCTTGTCATAAAGTCTGTTCGTGGTCAATCGCACCTTTTCCACACTTTGATATCTTTGTTTTTTTCTCTTTTTTGAATTTCAAGCAACAGATCTATATAGAGCTTTCCACTAAAGTCAAGATAAATAATAGATTTATTTGTATTGCGTAAAATCCTTAAAAATATTCGCACTTAAAACGTGATAAATATATTCGAGCGTTGGAGAGAGAGAGAGAGAGAGAGAATTCTGATTGTGAGTACAAAAAGTACGAGCAACACGAACAGACCGTATAAATTTATATTCTTTGTTATGTTCGAAAGACTCATTGGCTGTCGCATTCGATCCATTTTAAATAAAATAGAAAATATAAAAGAATTTTGGCCGCTCGATAAGCTCCAATAAAATGCGCTCAAATATATATGTATATATCATAAATATATAATATAATAAAATATATATATTTATATATAATATGCAATGCTTATCAAAGGCCTAATCAATGTTCTTATCAGAGAGGATCCTCCCTTATTTACTTGTTTAGTTTCCACTTTCCAGGCTGACTTGTGCAAGGGCCTATACATTGCACGAATTTAATGACAGATCAGATAGATGGCGATATTGACGATGAATAGGCGGGAAAGCTCTCGCGCGAAGCCGGTGTATACGTACAGCTACCAGATCAACAGCGGGAAGGATGCACGCTTTCCTGAAAACCGGGAAACTGGGCGCTCCGGCGGAGGTGAAGAAACCATCGACCTCTCGGGCTAAGGACGACAGGAAGGATCTGACGCCATGGGTGGAAAAATAGTGAGTGCACACCGATTGGCTAAGATTTAACCTCTCTACCATCGCACAAAAAGATCCAATTGTTAAGCTTCATATTTATTTTCTATGTGTAGCTAATAAATATCCCTTTTTCTTATCCGGAAATTGCGATCATCTTCTTCTCGCTGCAAGAAGGTGAAAGGAAATTTGGCTCGAGGATGAACGTTCCTAACTTCTTGACACTTTGTTTACAGCCGGCCGAAGAATGTCGACGACATTGTGGAGCAAACGGAGGTGGTGAATGTCATACGGCAGGCCATGGAACGCGGAGATTTTCCCAACATGCTGTTCTACGGGCCACCGGGCACCGGCAAGACCAGCATCATCCACGCGGCCGCGAGGCAGATGTTCGGTAGCATGTACAAGGACAGGATACTGGAACTGAACGCCTCCGACGACAGAGGTATTCAGGTTGTGAGAGAAAAGATCAAGTCCTTCGCGTTGCTCAGGGCCAATCCGAACGGACCAGAGTGAGTTTGACGCTCAAACTTTTATAAATATTTCCGAAAAATCATTGTAATTTTTTGCAAATCTATCTGTAAAGATAGACAGTCGTAATAATAGATCGTGAAATAATCCTCTTTCCTAATGTTTTGGGCTGCTTAAAAATCTTGTTTTGGATATATAATATGCTGACTAATTATATTTCTATTATATCTCTAACGTTACTGTATTAATGAGTGATAAATGTTTATTTATACGTCAAAATATTAAAAATTATCTATGCCGATGAACCAGTAAAAGGTCTGACGACTGCAGAATTGTTTATTTGTATGTCAAAATATTAAAAATTATCTATGCCAATGATGAACCAGTAAAAGGTCTGATGACTGCAGAATTTCGGTGCAAAGGATTGTTCAGAAAAAAGGCACATTTTGTTGTTATCAAGGAGGTCTAATGAAGGATTTTAGTGTCTCTTATTAGCAACAAAACAGAAAAAATGCTCGTAACATAACAGAAGAAGCTACAAAGATCAAAGCGAAACTTCTGAGAAGTTGCATGAGCAAACAATTTCAATTTTCAAACGTTCGCGTGAGTCACGTAAATACATATTATTAGATATTTCTCTTAGATGAACTTAGTTAAATTTTATATTTGTGATGATTAATATAATTAAATTTTGAATACTTTTTATTTTTTTAAAGTTGCCTGATTCAAATTGAACTGACGTGAATGCTTGAAAGTTGATCTCTTTTGAACGTCTCGCGCGCTGTACTGCAGTTTCTGATCAAAACCGCAATCTGAGGCATAATATAATTCTTACTTGATTAAAATTCATGAAAATTGTGTACAAAAACATATAATAAAATTAACTTTTTTATATTTACAGCGGGAGAAAGTGTCCGCCGTTTAAGATCATCATCCTGGACGAGGCAGACAGTATGACCGGCGCCGCGCAAACGGCGCTCCGTCGAATCATGGAGAAGGAGTCGCACAGCACGCGCTTTTGTTTGGTGTGCAATTATCTGTCGCGAATCATCAAGCCGATAGCGTCGCGCTGCACCAAGTTCCGATTCAAGCCGCTGAGCGACGAGAAGAGCATTTCCAGGCTCGAGTACATATGCAACGAGGAGAACCTGAAAGCCGACAGAAACGTCTTGGAGAAAATCGTCAAGGCGTCGGGTGGCGATTTAAGACAGGCCGTCATGTGTTTGCAATCGATCACGCGACTGAAGGGAAAGGACTACGAGATCACCGTGGATGATGCACTCGACGTTATCGGGGTAAGTAAATATACATGTGTTTAAAAAAATAATGGAAATTGTTTTTTTTTTTTATATGACAAGGTTGAATAATTTTGGATTGTGGTGTGCATTTATCTTTACTTTAGCTAGTTCCTGATGATCAAATTAATACACTGTGGGAGGCTTGTAAAAAGGGGAGTTATAATGATATTCAGAAGCTACTCGAAAATTTGCTGCTGGAAGGATATCCGGGATCACAGGTATCGGCCCTAATTATTTGCGTAATTTATTAAATTAAGCATTAAAAAATTTGTTAAATAATGGTAGTAGACAGTAATACTTGAATAATTTTGTCAATACTGATTGGATTAACTTACTTAATTTTATTTGTTACATTTTAGGTAATTGAGCAATTGAACGAGAAAATTATTTTCTCCGATGAACTAAACGACAAACAAAAAGTGATGATTGGCGACGTGCTTGGTGTAAGAAACTTTTTTGTACACATAAAGAACAATATAAGCTATGAATATATAAATAAGAAAGTGTTTCTTTTTTTTAGGAATGTGATTACAGATTAACAGAAGGATGTGATGAATATCTGCAGCTTCTAAATATGTTTTCTATCATCTTGATGGCACGCAAATCATAAGATATTAATTTGCTTCTGTAAGTTATGTACTTATATTCGTAGGTTTACGTTATGTATAGTACTGTAAAGATTTTATATATTTTCATAGAAATTGTTCACGATATTGTATAATTTATTGACCTACAGTATTAATATTAAAAAATAGTCGAGATTAAAGTCGTTACAATATAAACAATGTTTAAAAATATTTTAGAATTAAACTAAAGACAACTTTTGTGGAAGGTATTAAAAGCATTGTTGTATTAAAAAAATTCTAGTATTAAAATTAATAACTAGCTAGGGAATAAAAACTAGCTGAGATACAAAATAACTAACGTTCTAGTATATTCATGTAGGGGATATAAATATATCCTTAGTGAACTAAATACATTAGCGCCAAATTTACCAGAAAATCTGGAGACTCCATGGTGACCAATTCCGCAAACGCGCATCGAAAATGTCTCTACGCCTCGCTTGGGATTTAATTCCTCCAGTTTTAAAAAAACAAAGCGTTATCGCGAACGATCAAAGCGCCAAGTACAAATCGTAACGAGCCCCCGAAAAATTCTCGATGTGTACAAAAGGAAATGCTTACGTTTTTACATTATAAAGATCCATCCCCGGCGTCGGTGGGAACGGGGCTCTCAGCGTCGCCGACGGACTCCGCGCGCTGAGCACCACTGGCGCTCGGCGTGTAGGGGCGTCGTTGCTACTGCGTGCAATGTGTATCGTGTAGGCGTTGGCGAGGAAGGAGGCGAGAGCCGCGAGACCGTCGCCGCCGCTCGCTCGCTCGTTCGTTCGCTCTCTCGTCGGACGTGTCGTGTCCGTGAGCGTGGAGAAAAAAAGGGACAACGTGCGCGCCCGTGGGTGGATTCGGAGCAGCCGGTGCACCCGGGTTTTACGGCCGCGTGTGCGTCGTTGTCGTGTGAGGCAATATTCTCGAGCCGCGAAGCGTTCGGGTTTCCTCGCGCTCCGAAGGAAACGGCTCTAACGCTCTCTCACTCTTGCTCTCCGCCCTCTCCCCCCTCCCCTCTTCACCCACCCTCTCGCCCCGCTCTCTCACCCATCGTCGTTACTCTCTGTGCCTCTAGAGCGCTGTCTAGCCTCGTTCCACGACACGACGTGGAGGCCACGTCTCGACCACGTCCTGGATAACGCGGGGTGTCGTCCCTCTCTTTCTCTCTCACTCTCCTACGGGTGAATTTTTCGTTGTTATTCCCGCGAGTGTGGTTTGATCGCGGGGGAAGGTCGCCGCCGACGCCTCCCCCCTCCCCCCCCCCGTGTGTGCGCGGAACGGCGTCCCCGTGGTCGTGTCGCGTCGTGAAAGAAAGGGGAACGTACGGGACGGAACGGGGGCGTGAACGACGCCTGTCCTCGCCGCCGCTGCCGCCGCCGCCGTCGTTGCAGCATCGTCCTTCAAACACTACGTCGTTTTCGGAGTAACGACGTTTCGGAGCACGTCATTCTCCACGGGATATCTCCCTCTTTCTCTCTCGCTCGCTAGCGTAGAGGTCGTGACTTCCGGAGAGAAAGGAGAGAAAGAGAGACAGAGAGCGAGAAAGGGAGAGAAAGAAAGAGAGAGGACTACTCGCGAGAGCGGAGCAGCACCGCGAGAAAGGCGTGCTGACCGCGTTCCTCGCCGCTCCAGGCGAACCAGGAGACCCAGGGCGGCAGGAGACACGGATTTCTGTGATCCTCTGTGACACTTCCTGCAGACGTTGCCTCGAAACTCTCAAAAGCGGCTCCATTAGCCGCTCCACAGCCACTCTCGTTTGTCTCCGATTTCCCCGAAGGTGTGCGCGTGCATCGTTCTCTCTTTCGTCTCGAGGTCTACCGTCCCTTTAACGCAGGTCCATTTTACTCCTGGAATCCTGCGGAGAAATAATAAGAGGCAATAAGAAGAAGAGATATATTAAACGCACGAGAGAGAGAGTGACCGAAGGACAGTCTCTTGACGGAGGCCGGCGGGGTATCGTATTATGTTCCCGTCGAGAGGACGCTAAACGGAAAGGGAAGGAACGAAGAGGAGGAGTGGAGGAAACGTTCCTGCGAGCCGCAGCCTTCCCGCGAGAGATGTTCGGCGCCCTGAGGGGAGACCCAACCGGCGAAGCGGGCGGCTAGTTGCAGTGCATGCCTCGGCGCCGGCGGTGCATCCTGCCGCATCCTCCTGCCGCTTCTTCATCTCCCGGAGCCGAGTGTGTGCGTGCGTTTCGGCCCGCGCTTCGTTCCCGCGTCTCTGCAGCAGAAAGAAAGGAGGATACATTAATCATCCGAGCGGGTCGTCCAAAGTCCAAGTCGTTACGGGGGAAGAGGATCCAATCTCCGCCGGGGAAAGAGGACGACTCTCCACCGAAAAACGGACCCGCGCGGGGGAGACGAGGGGGGGGAGGAAGAGAACAGCCGGCGGCCGCCTCCTCTCCATGTGCGCACCCGAGGTCCTGAGGTGGCGCGTGGCTTGACAGGACCTCGCGCGAGCGGGGCGTCGCGACGCCGGTCGCTTCACTAAAATTCGCCGCGAGGATTCGAAAGAAGAGAGAAAAGGGATTCTCCTCCTTTCTCCCTCGATCGGACCCTCCCTCTCGATTTCCTGGTTCCCCGTAGTGAGACACCACGTTCCACGGCTGGACAAAGGCGCGGAGGTGGATGGTACCGGCGGGCTTGCGGGACCGTCGCACGACAACGACGACGAGGACGACGACGAGGCGGCGGATCGTGTTTCCTGCGACGGTAACGGGTGTCACGGCCGATACGTGGAATGTGACGGGATACGTCGCGCGCGGAGTAGCGAGTCGTAGAAAAGGTAAGCAAGCACGGACGGAAGGTCGGAGAGATGGTGTGTTGTACCGCGAGTACGAGTACACGTTATAGGTCGTGAGATTACACGCCGCGCCGCGCCGCCGGAGAGAGCGCGGAGAGTACCGTATAGCGTTCTAATGTATAAGCTACACCGGTAGCCTCTCCCCGCGAGGCTTGGCTCTCTCGATTATTGGCCGTACGTTCGAATTCCAGATTCCCCCTGAGACGCGCTCGCGCGGGATACATACCGAGTATCCTGTTCGCGTATTCTCTTTGAGGAAGGCGCGCGCGGTCGGCCGCGCGCGTGGAAGCTCTTAGCGCCGGGCGGCCGGCCGGCCGGTCGGTCGGTCTCGTCTCGACGTACGTATAGTAGTATCGAGCAACACGGAAGCCCGCGCCCGCTTTCACGTTTAATAATGAAAGGGCCCACCCTCAAGGATCAAACTTCAGGAATGCAAATGGAAACTTTTATCCGTCCTTTAAACTTTGCGCGACCGTGCCTTTAATTTAATGGAATTTAAATACACTTTGAGGAAACTTTGATTTCAAAGGAAAAAGAGAGAGAGAGATATTAATATATCTTGTATACATTTGATGTGAATTTTTTTTCAATTAAAACCCTATTGTATCTCCGGATTACGAATATTTTGAATTTCATAACTAAATTTCAATCAACAAAATTTTATCAGGCTTGCGAGGAAAAAGATGTAAATATCCTCTTTCTCCGGTAAAATCACGATTAAAATTACACTTGGTATTTCTTAATCGTCGGCTCCACTTTAGGACGTCCTGAAGTCTTAAATATTGCACGCTAGAATCCTCTCTCTCTTTTCCTTATAACCCTTTAAGATTCCCCCTCGAATTCGTGCATATTTAAAATCTTAAATCCTTTTCGCAGTATCCGCCGTTTTTATCTTCGGTTCTGCAGATATTCAGGTCTCTAAACGCTTCGATCGCTCTCGAGCTTTGGCCTTTGAGTCCTCCCAAATTAAATAAGGATCCGTCGTGCAACATTAAATCTGGAGTTGATAGCTCACTTTTGTGCGACACATGCGCTCTCTTTCGTTGCCTCTATCCCTCTCTCTTTCTCTCTCTCTCCATCTCTCCCTCTTCGCACGGCATTCTGCTCGCGATTGGCCGTTCCAAATCCCCTTTTTCAGTTATAAAACGAAACTAGAACGTACGAGCGTTTCGAAAATAGTCGTACTCGTCGATTGATTATTCACGTGGATTTTCACGCGGTCGCGTACACCCTCGGTTTAGCCCACCCGCGTGGTTACTCCATGAATGATTATCGCGAGATATCCGCGGCGGATTATTTGCATTTATCCGTTTAACGCCACGGATTTCGGCCAATCGCGGTGGGCGATCCGGATTTAATTACGTTACACTGATGAGGCTATTCGTCGTCGGGCGGTATCCCCCCGATCGACTCTCCCAAAGAGTCGCGAGAGAAGGTGTATATATAGGTCTTTGAACCCCTGCGTTATCATTCTCGAATTAGATCTACGTCGCTGCGGCGTTACGGCACAGACGAATAATCGACTGTCGTCCGCGAAAGGGGAGCGAACGAGCTTGTGCTTTGACTAAAAATATATTGCGTTTGTATTTAATTAACCTCACGGCACAATCCTGTGTGAGAGAATGCCTTTACGTTCGTGCGTCGCAGAATTATCAGTAGGGTTGATAACAATTGACAAATAATAAATAAGCATGTGTATTTGATACACATTTATCTGTTTGTCTAACAATAAGATTGAAAGGAATCTAAAAGATGATACTTGCAAAACATATTAAAGAGATAAATAAAAGCTATACTTCGATATTTTAAATAAATATATTTTTAAATACACACACATATTAATGTTTCCAAAATGAAGTAAAAAGACTAGTGATTTTATTGATTTGAGTTCTCTTTTTTTACTGACGACAATCAAAATTGTTAGACAAATTAAATAAATTATTGCAAGCAGAATAAAACAAAGGCAAAAATTATTAAAATATTTTATATTTCGATGCACGAAGTTATATCGCACTACATATAGGACGATTTCTAAAATCGTACGGTAATTTTTAAAATAATTCTAAAATAAGATTACACGTCTTCGTGTTTCAAATAATCGATTTTAATCGAGGCCACGTAGTTAATCGTCAAAAACGACAATCAATAATTTATACAAATCAAGCATTTAATCTGACTACAAGATATATGCAGCAATAAGAGAGTCGCGATTTGTAAATATTATAAATTACGTTTAATTCAATTATATAGACATGTGCGCGACAGCCCTGTAATTAAATTCAACTGATGTCAGCGCAGAGCAGCGTTCTTCCTCCCCCCCCCCCCATCTTCCCTCGAACCGCCACCGGACTCGCGCAAGAAGAGTCGCGGGCGCGTCGGAAGCGTCGCGTCGTAAGACTCCACAGAAAACGAAGTTCGTCTTCCGCGTTATCAG